GTCTTACTCTTTACTTAAAACAAAGCTTTTATTCTTTAATTTCATCTCTCAACTCTTGGACTTGAGTTTGCAAGTTATGATTGTGCACCAAAGCATTCAATTTTGAAAGAGTCGCACCGAAACCAAGACCTCTTACCCATCCGCGACGTTCTAGACCAAGTACTCTAGCAACACCATCATCTTTGAGGGAGTGTTGCTCTAGAGAGGTAACCATCTCTGAACATGCTTTTATTTTGTTCTGATGTGAGGAAATAGATTAATGGGCTACAATTATAAATATAAGCTTTAAATGATCAAATATTACGAAAATCAATATTGTTACCATTGTTTTCCTAGTTGATTCATTAATAGGTTCACCATTTTTTCACATATGTCCTTGAATATAATTATCATCTCTTGTTATGGAATCAAGGTCTTCACTTTCGACACATTACATTTTACATATTTAATATATGTGATAACGTAAACGTTTATAATTTTTCGAGCAAATTTAACTTTTAAATTAACAATTTTTTACCATTTCAGCTTCTAAATGAGCAAAACCCTTTCTACTTGTTGTATGTATTATAGTTTGACTTGCTCTCATCTTTTTGAATCTTTCACTCTTTTCCTACAAAATTAATTAGTATTGTATAAGCATAACTTTTATTAGGAATGTAGAGTAGACGAGGTAAGTAATTTAGGAAAAAGTAATGAAAGCTTACCTTATACGGTTGAGAATTGCGTTCTTTGACAAATGCTTGCCATTTTTTCATTTATTCAACATTATCGGGCTTGAGGAGATCAACAGCTCGTGTCATGCCAATTGTTTTTCCTCTGTCATTGATTGCTTTAAGCACATTAGATCGATAATCTCGCCAATTCTTTCCCATTTTTTGCATTATGTACTATCTATGAAATTATCAACATCAGACTTTTGTTGCATCAAAGTACACAATATTAATAGTAAACTAATTTAAATTATGTAACAGACGTGGAGTTTATATTACCTGCACAAGCTTCCATATGTCATCAAGAAGACTTTCACTGATATCTTTCCAATTTTTCCATGTAATTGGTATAATTTCTCTAAATGTGGTCTCAAGAAATGATGATAACTTACTTAAACCTTTACAAATTGGCTACCCTATTTCATTAAACTCTATTGGTAACTTTGCACATTTTTCCTTGTTGAGATAATTCAATTTTGCTCAACCCCTTTCCTTTTTTCCTTTTTCAGTAGCACTATCACTATTCGGCAACACTTCTACATCATTTTCTTGTATGTTTGGAATAGAATTAGAATCTCTTTTTGATATTCTTATCCCTTCATTCCCTTTTCTTGTGGCAACAACTTTTGAAGCTTTTTTAGCTCGTTTTACTTTATATAGCCTTGATTAGATGACTGCATTAAACAAATAAGAAAAACAAGCAATATTTTACTCAAATTTACTTTTTAATCATTAATAATTATTATATATACAATATGGGAACTTACTTCACCAGGGCATGTCATCTTATTTCCGCTCGTGCGAACATTAACATCCACAAAACTCAGCTTTTGTCGTTTATATCTACATAAATAAAGCAAGAAATAATCAAATTAGAGACATTAAAGACATTAGCATCAATATGATACCCCATAAATTAGTAAATTAAAATAGAGAAAGAAAGAATCTTAAAGATATACAATTATCATATTCAATAACAATTTGTCTTACATAACTTTCATCTTTGACAGTCATATCAAGTCTTAATGTATCTAATTTGGATGGAGTATAGGCCTCCTCATCATAAGTTTCTAACTAATGAAATCCTCTTGCAGGTGCCTTTAATACAATATACCAACTAGATGTATAGCTCTCTCTAGAATAAAAAACTTGTTTTGCTTGTGATGCTAATTGATGTTATCCTCTATAATGATTTACCAATGTAAATCCTTCTTCAATCTTGACTCCAGTATCTATATTTGCCCAATCACAATGAAACAGAGGAACTTTAAAACTAAGATAATCTATTAAAATTATGTCTCTGATAACCCGTAATAAGATACTTTACCAACTACATGGCTTGTATCCTTCATGCTAGATCAACAAATAGTTTGTTCTTCAATAGGAACACCACTGTTTTGTGCACTTCTACTAACATCGGTTGTATGAAATCGATTTCCATTGATAACATAACCAGAATGTGACATCACATCATTTCTAGGCCGACGTGCAAGCCATTTCAATGTATTAGACATGTTACAATTGTCTTGTTTGCCTTTCTCCGCAAACCAAGAATTGAAAGTCTCCATATGTCTCATTTATAATAAAGTTTCATTCTTGGCAATACGGCTATCTGAATTCTTAATCTCCTCTTTATGCATCCTAAATGAAAAAAAATAAACAAATAGTAAGAGAAGTTTATGAGAGAACATCAATTAATGTTAAACTAATAAATTAACTAATTTCATTACATTATATATGGCTCAACTGCAACGCTGTTAAATAGCACATAACGACGAGCGACCTCTAACATTGTCTTTGACTTTCCTTCTAAAACATGTATTTTTATTGGTTATAGTCTTTGTCATCATGGATACAAATGTTTGGATCTTGCAACTGGAAATGTATTTGTTTCAAGACAAGTTCTCAATGAAACACTATTTCCTTATACCAACACCAAAAGTCCCCAGGAAGAATTAACAGATACTTCCATTTCTTTACCAACTAATCTTCGCGCACATCATTGCTTTCCACATATGTCATGCAGGTTCTCACCATGGTCCACGTATTCCACTTGAAGTTGGGACAATTTCACAAGAAAATCAGAACACATCAAGCAGATATGGTCGGTGCTCTCCCGTGATGGATGTCACTACTTCATCTATTGTTCCTGGCAGCACCTCAACCTCTCAACCTTCAACTCCTCATCACATGCTTTCACGTTCCAAGACGAATTCCTTGAAACGAAGACATCTGGATGATGATTTTATTCGGTATCCTCTACCGAAAACCCTTGTGGCCACTGCAAGGTGACCTTTATTAGAGCCTTCATGTTATTTTGAGGCATCCAAATATTCAGAATGGAGACGGGCAATGAATGAAGAATTTGATGCTTTGATTCGAAATCATACATGGACTCTTGTTCCACCGAAACCCGAAGTTAACTTAATTGGGTGTAAATGGGTCTATCGAATTAAACGGCATGTAGATGGAAGAATAGAAAGATTCAAGGCAAGATTAGTAGCTAAAGGCTATAATCAGCAAGAATGAGTAGATTTTCATGACACTTTCAGCCCTGTGTTAAAACTAACAACAATTAGATTTCTACTTTTAGTTGCTATCACTAATCATTGGTACATCAAACAGATTGATGTACAAAATGCATTTTTAAATGGGATTCTCATTGAAGATGTCTATATGAGACAGTCACCAGGATATTTGCATTCGGATTATCCAAATCATCTATGTAAGTTGAACAAGAGTTTATATGGCTTACGCCAAGCCCCACATTCATGGTTTTCTAGATTAACTTAAATGCTTACTAGCATGGGATTTGTTGGTTCAAAGGCTGATTCCTCACTATATTTTCTTCATCAAGATGATATGCAGTTATTTTTCCTCATTTACGTTGATGATATAATCATCACCTGGACAGATCCAAAGCATATTGATTGGGTAATTCATAAGCTTTCTCTCGAATTTCCTATTAAAGATCTTGGCAACCTCTCCTATTTCCTTCGAATTGAAGCTCTACGTACCAATGAAGGCCTCTTTCTCACACAACAAAAGTATATTGTTGAACTGTTAAGGAAAGCTATTCTTGAGAATGCCAAGCCATGTCTAACACCAATGGCTACAAATTGTCATCTCACTAAGTTCGATGGAACAGCCTTTGACAATCCAATGTTATATCGCAGTAGAGTTGGTGGACTTCAGTATCTTGGATTCACGCGACCAGATATTGCATTTGCAGTCCATAGAGTCAGCAAGTTTATACATTGTCCCAAAGATACCCATTGGCAAGCTGTTAAACGTATCTTGCGGTATCTTAAATATTTTGTATCAGATGGATTATTTCTCTCAGCCAATTCTGCCAATAATGCTTTTTCAGATGCGGATTAGGCCTCTGATCATGATGATGGACGATCTGTTGGAGCATATTTGGTATTTCATGGGTAGAATCTAATTAGCTGGTCATGCAAGCAACAATAGACGGTGGCAAAGAGTAGTACAAAGGCTGAATATAAGGCGTTATCCACTGCTGCAGCTGAGCTACAATGGCTTCAATCCCTTACACAAACCATACATATTTCTATCTCTGGCTTACCTCAACTATGGTGCAATAATATTGGCGCGACTTATCTATCAGCTAATCCGGTTTTCCATGCACGAACCAAGCATTTCTTCATTCATTGCTCGTCTCCATTCTGGAAATTTGGATGCCTCAGAATAATATGTAGACTCTAATAAAGGTGGCCTTGCAGTGGCCACAAGGGCCTGTGTAATTTATACTTGAGAATACCATAGAAGACTTGAAGCTTGGGAATGTCAAGTTCTTGAATTAAAAGCTGATATTTTGTGAATTGAAGCTGGAGGTTCGTGATTCAGATTTAATTCAGAAAATCATTACCAATTTTAAGTAAAATTATAAATCTATCTTTCTTGATTATAAAATACATGTCAAGCTGGGAGATTGAATTAAATTGAAAAAAAAATTATTTCCTGACTAATTCTTATTCCAATTTCCGGTAGACATATCATTCAGCATCACCTCCAGGCTCCAACACATTGAGTAAATATGGAGTTTAGATTACTATACATTGAAAAGGCATGAGTAAATAAGAGAGCTAAACTTACCGTATGAGGGAGCAAATCACCTTCAATACTTGCTTCATTTCTGAATAATTGAGAAAAGCAATGCACACAAAATTTTCATTAGCCCGATCAATTTTACATAAAATTATATTTTTCGATTCGGAAGATTTTATTTTAACACTAGAAAAAGTCTACTTTACTCTGATCGGTCTTAGATTATTTAAATTTAACTTCGCAATCAAATCAGAAATCATGACTCAACAGGGTCCTTTTGCATCAAGTTCCTAATATTCTAGCACGAGCAGGGAGCATAAGAACCCATTGAATTGAATTCTGCTCACTTTTGTTGTATAAACTAAGCGATATTCTCAGAACAAGAGTACAGTAACATGAATCCAGTCGATAACACCGGCTTAAGAACCCGACTTCAGTTCTTACTATCCTGAATAGTGAGCATCAGATATAAAATGGAACAAACGGAAGAGGAAACATCACGACAGTTCAGGAGGTCTGAACAAATGCCAATGGGACCCTTTTGTCCTTATTTATGTTGAAATTCCTATAACCGAGCAGTAACTCCAGAAGTGCATGCCTTCGGTGTTTCGATGCATTGATGCTGATAAAAATGTCCAAGAAACATTATCCGGTTTGTAGCTAACTCACAAGAGAGGCGTCTCGTTTGGAACTCTCCAATGGTCTCCAAGCATAAAAAAACACACCCACAACAAGGACAATGGCACCTGCTACAAAGCCAGGTGGAAGGGAGGATGCAACCCCAAGATAAGGGAGAGGCAACGTGAATAAATATACAGATACTGGCACTGCAAACAAGATTCAAGAGAAAAATACTAATATGTTAGTAAGAAACCTTGATTTCGAGAAAAATACAACTTTCAAGGTAAAGAACACAGAATTATTTTTTAGACCTTTATATATCCAAGACAGGAGATTATATTGATAATTCACATGAGGCCACTAATTATTGCTTGACAAAACATGTACAGATGACATTGTTTTATAATTCACCATCCACTGAATACTAGAAAACAGAACTCTTGGGCTATGTTACACCTTCTCCATAGAAATCAGTCTTATTGTTTGGAGCTTGGAAACTTTGTTAGAATCTACCCATATCCTAATCGGACTCGGGACAAAAACATTGGTTATGAGTTATCTCTGAACTTACGCTGGATGTGGTTTGAAGAAACAAACAAAATCAACCTATGTTCTTCAGAATTTGACATGGAGTTGCGTTCAATACATTAATAGAGCTATAGCATTTCATATACATTAAGTGTTTGGATCATCGGAAGTCTAACAAAAGTTAAATACAACGGCAGAACGTCAAACCGCAAAAACTTTTTATCTGGGAGGACTGAGGAGTTACAAAGGCTACAGCACATACATGAAAAGCTATTTTCAGATCTACAACAGGGATAATGGGCATGCTATATGACATGACTTTTGGGATTGTAACTCAGCTATTTCGATGTTCTGTAGGATTGTTTATATTTACTTAAGTATGAGATACTTGTCATTTACAATTGAGTCTGTGTTGGATTGACACAATAATTGGGAATTTTCATAATTTTAAGCTTTTATAGTTTTGGATAAAGGTTTTTGATATTTTGAGTATGTAGTATTTCTTTCTTTCAAGTGTTTTGGAGATTCTGCTAGCTAGGGCAAGAGCCTATTAATATAATACTAGCACTCTTTTCAACTGTCGTCCTTTCATATTAAAACTGAAGGTTCTACTTCCCTTGCGAGGTTATTTCTCTTTGGAGTTTGAAGACAATCTTTTTCTATTGTTTCATTGCTTTTCCTCAGTCAAGAGGTCCTGTGACCAACTTTCTATTCATAAATAATAAGGACTACAATGAACACTGCATAGTGATCTGGAATGACATCCGAATTCAAGATGAAATCTAGGAAGGGAGAAAATCTAAAATTTGTAGCATAATGGTGTTTCTGGTCCTTGTTGTCACTGTAAATCCAAATTACGTTTTGGCTTCTTTGATAAGGTACTATAGATTATTCAGTACTTAATATTATCAAACTAGAGAAAAGGAAGCTAATATCTTATCCATTGTGCATTCCCATTCAGCCAGATATGGTGTTACAAACGTGCTCTTTTGAGCACAATAAGAATAGCAACATATTGGCATTCTCAGGATGAGGTTTAAATAAATCATTGCTATTTACGACTGAATTTGCATTTCACAAAAATTAAGGGTTGCATTTCTGAGCAATACACAAACTATTGATTAGTTGAAGGTTGTACTTGCAGGAAAGAAATAGCGATATAGCACAATCAACATACCAGAAAATGTTGATGCAAGACAAGATACCACAGCAGAAGAGATCTTGATCAGATGCAGCAATGAAATATTGAAACCCATGTTGACAATGATAAAGAGCAGTGGCAGTAAAGGTGCACCATCACAGCCTGTGTCCAGAGTAAGTTCAGAAATGTCATCGTCCGTTATTTTTACATACAACTGGAGTAATCATGTAATTCTGTATTCCTTACTTAATAAAGGACCTCACAATGTTCTATAGACAGAAAACTCAATTATGGAATTGCAATCAAATTTTAAAAGTATCCCTGCAGGATCAGGAAATTTCAAACAAATCTTCATTTTCCATAATGTTGATAGAAAAAATAATTTCAAGGAGTTGACCTCTTCTAATTTTGTTGAATGCGAGTGCTCGTCTTAGAATTGAAGGCAATAATATATTACGCATGCCTTGAAGTTTCACTACATTACTTTTTTTTGATAGGTAATCAAATAATTTTATTACTTAAAAGAGAATACACGGGGGGTGTACAATCACTTTAAGCTATTAAGGAAAAACATGAAATTAGGCAACCCATCTACAGGATTTCTAGCCACAGCATTAAACCAAGAATACAAGGTAAAGTAAAATGTTTCTCTTATCTGCTCTCTTGTCTTTGTTTGGTCTTCGAAGTAACGGTTGTTCCTTTCTCTCCACACACACCAAACAATGCAGTCCGGGATAAGGTGCCATGCTAGTTTGCTATCCTTATCCCGAAGTTTTCTACGCCATGCCCGTATCACGTCCTCTATACGACGAGACATCACCCAATCCATAGATTGTGAACTGATTATACTGTTCCAAATCCAACGTACACCATCACAATGAATGAACAAATGATCGATCGTCTCTCCATCCTTCTTGCACATATAACACCACTCGATTGCATAAAAGCCTTTACGACGAAGATTATCCACCGTTGAGACCTGTCCTCTCACAACTGTCCATAATAAGAATGCCACCCGAGGAGACAATTTACACTGTCATACCAACTTCCATGGGAATGAATTATTCACACACCCCATGAGGGAACCAAAGTACGAGCGAACCGAAAAAATGCCATCCTGTACTGTCCTCCACCTGATGCAATCCCTCTCTCCAACCCGAATTTGGGCCTCATGTAAAATGGTCATAAACAGCGAATAATCATCCAATTCCCAATCCTGAAGATCCCTCCCAAAATTATTTTTCAGCTATAACTCCCATTATGAATGTCTAAGAGATCACTCACCATGCCAGTGGACACTGAGGCAATACGATACAAAGAAGGGAATCTCTCCTTCAGCGGTTGATCTCCGCACCAACAATCATCCCAAAATTTAATCTCACTATCATTTCCAACCATAAACTTCAGTTTGTCCAAAAATGCACTCCATCCCCGTCGGATATACCTCCACAAGCTCACCCCATAAGAACCACGATCCTCAAATGTACACCATCCCCCATCGGTCACACCATACTTCGCCCCAATTATTTCTCTCCAGAAACTGTCCCTCTCCACTCCAAATCGCCACAACCACTTGCCTAATAAGGCTTTATTGAACAACACAAGGCTCCATACCCCAAGACCTCCCATCCTCATCGGCAAACAAACAACTCCCCAATTGACCAAATGGAGTCTCCTCTCCTCTCCCAACCCTGCCCACAGAAATTCTCTTTGAAGCCTCTCTAATCTCTTTGCCACTGCAATCGGAATGGGGAACAATGACAAAAAGTAAGTAGAGACATTGGAGAGAGTGGATTTAATGAGAGTAAGTCTACCTCCCTTAGAAAGGTACATACGCTTCCACCCTGCTAACCTTCTCTCCATCCTTTCCACAATACCATTCCAGATATGGGTACTTTTAAATCGTGCCCCTAACGGGAGTCCTAGATATGACATCGGCAACTGCGCAACCTTACAACCCAATATATCAGCTAGCTCCTCGACATTATTGACCTCCCCAACTAGAATAGCCTCAGACTTTCCCAAATTAATTTTCAAACCAGACACCGCTTCAAAACATAAGAGCAGACGGCGCAAGTTCCTGAATTGTTCTACATCTGCATCACATAAGATCAACGTGTCATCTGCAAATAACAAATGAGACACCTGCAATTGATCAACCATAAAACCCCTTATCAAACCCGCTCTCACTGCTCTTTCAATCATCCTACTGAGAGCCTCCATCACAATGATAAATAACAATGGGGACAATGGATCCCCTTGTCTCAAGCCTCTACTGCTCCGGAAATAACCCTCTGGTGTTCCGTTGACCAAAACTGAGAATGAAACAGTAGAAATATAGAATTGAATCCATTTACACCATTTATCCCCAAAGCCACAGCGTCTGAGCATATATAACAAGAAACCCCAATTCATATGGTCGTAAGCCTTCTGAATATCTAGCTTACAAAGCATCCCTGGGGCCCTTAGGCGCATTCTTGAATCTATGAATTCATTCGCTATAAGCACAGAGTCCAAAATCTGACGCCCTTTTACAAATGCATTCTGAAACTTGGACACTACTTTTCCCAGTACCTCCTTTAATCTGTTTACCAGGACTTTCGAAATAATCTTATACACCCCGCTGACAAGGCTAATGGGGCGAAAGTCCTTAATATCAGTCGCTCCCGGTTTCTTAGGGATGAGCACAATAAATGTGGCATTAGAATTTCTCTGGAATCTGCCACGTTCAAAAAAATAAGATAAAGTATTCACAATGTCCAGTCAAACCACATCCCAAAACGCTTTGTAGAATGAGAACGAGAAACCGTCCGGTCCCGGGGCCTTATCATCGTTCATGCTAAAAACGACCTCCTTAATTTCATCCTCCTCAAATGGTCTCTCCATCCATCGGGCATCATCCTCATTGATTATAGAAAAGTGCAATCCCTCCAATTCTGGCCTCCATTCAAATTGCTCCCGATAGAGGTTCTAATAAAAATTAACCAGTTGGCTTCCAATTTCCTGTGGTTCCTCATAAGTAACCCCGTCCACCTCCAAAACTGTGATGGAGTTGTTCCTCCTATTAGAATTGGCGACCCTGTGGAAGAATTTAGTGCATTTATCCCCCTCTTTCAACCAAGTAACTCTAGATTTCTGTCGCCAATTAATTTCCTCCATCTCCACCAACCTCTCCATCTCTTCCTTTAATCCTCTATGTCTCTCCTTCTCCTCCCCAGTCAACCCCTGACTCTCCTCCCGCCTATCCAATTCCTCTATCTCTGACAGACACTGATTTTTACTGCAGTTAACATTGCCTACAACTTCCTCATTCCATTTCTTTAAGTCCCCTTTCAACGCCTTTAGCTTCTGATCCAATACAAAACAGGGAGACCCACTGACTTCATAGGAAGTCCACCACGTATGTACTCGTTCCCTAAAGCCTTCTACTTTCAATCACATCTTCTCAAACCTGAAAGGTCTTCTCCCACCACCCCTTCTATTCCCCGATAACATAATAGGAAAATGATCCGAGTATACCCTCCCCAATCTTCTCTGAGTGACATTTGAATATTTAGACTCCCACTCCCCACAAATCAAGAACCTATCAATACGAGACAGAACGGGTCGATCCCGATTGGATGACCAGGTAAAATCTCCCCCAATCATAGGTAAATCCACCAACAAATTCTCCCTAATAAAATCTGAGAACTCCTCCATTGCCCTAGTTAGTCTCCCACCACTCGACCTCTCCGAAGGAAATCGAATCACATTGAAATCACCCCCAATACATGTAGGGAGATTCCAACAAACCCTCATTCCAGCCAGTTCATCCCACAAACCCACTCTACTGTCATCAGAATTAGGCCCATAAACTCCTGTGAACATCCACCGAAATCCATCCTCACAATTTTTGAAAGAAATCGATATAGAGAACACCCCTATACTCACCTCTTTCATCTCAAGCACTCTAGTGTCCTACATCACCAACACGCCTCCTAAAACCCCTGATGACCCCAAAAACTGATATCCAACATGATCTCCCCCCCCATAAACTACGAATCACCGCCCTCGAGATAAACTCCATCTTAGTTTCTTGTAGGCAAACAAGATTTGCCCCCCATCCCCTTAGCAAATGACGAACACCAAGCCTTTTACTAACCTCATTGAGACCCCTTACATTCCAGCTAATGAGTTTTGGCATCATTGTAACACTCCATGACCCCTCCCCATTGTTCCTTTCTGGATTCGCCACCCTTACCAGCATAGTTTACTGACCATTCAAGCCTCTTAAGTTCACGATCACCCTTTTTTCTTAATTTACTTCCATGTGTACTGATGTCTTGTCCCCTATTAGCCTCCAGCTCCTCAAATAATTGTAACAATCTACTTTCATATCCATCACATGACACGCCAACCAACTTACTGAATTCCTGAATTTTTTGTAGCACCCAGTTTGAAGGTGGGTGACCAACTTCTAACACATCAGCTCCTGAAGTATCCTCACCCTGATAGCCCTCGAGATGATCAAAGGACCGTTCTTTCTCTTCCACCACTGGTATAATGTCACCGTCACTTTCTCCTTTCTTGGCACCACCTACCCATAACACCAAAGCTTTTTCGGTCCCCATATCGTTATCTTTTGTCCTCCTATTTTAAGTGTTCGTAATCCTTGATGTCGTCTGTGTATCGTTGTTTTCTTTCACTGTGTCCATTGACAATTTCTCCAAGTTCACCATACTGAACTCCCCTTCCTTAGACAGCGGTTCCTCTTCTCGTTCAACTGCAATCCCTGTGTCTACTTCAGTTTGGTTGACCCCCACAAAGTCAACCCCGTCATCGTTTTCATGGTATCCCGCTTCCATCCTCACCTGAGAATCACAATGTTCATCTCCTCCCTGCTTTGCATGTTCTGTAATTGGTGGTAGTTCCTCATGAGTCAATCCCGGTACGTGTATTTCACCGGTTTGATCCTCATCCAACACAACCCCACACTTGTGACGACGTACCAATTTCATGGGCTCCATTTCAGGCCCGCTTCCAACCAGTCTAAGTAATTCATCTAATGCTCCTTTCAACTCCTGCGCACGGGTCATTATTTCAGCCCTACTCAAACAAATGTCGTGACCTTCGTTATCACCGACTTTATTTCTCCTTTCCTTTTGCTGAAGCATCCGTTGGTTGGCATTCTCCGAGGTCTGTGAGTTTACTATAATTTCTGCATAAGTCATCATTTGTCTGTTTCGTTCAATCACCGTTTGTCGTTTAGCCTTATCCCTAGTAACAAATGAGTCAACAACTACTTGAAACGCCTGCAAGACCGACGCCCATCCCTCTCCATTTGCACCTTCTGGTATCATGACAACTCCTTTCCGACGCCTCTCCCCATGTTGTGCTATCATCAAATATCTACCTCGACAGTTCACATACCATTGTGCCAAGAAAGCTCTTGAAGACTCGTTGAATTTAAAGACACAGTCCTCCAATTCACTTCTCATCCTCAATCTGTCTACCATATTCATCATCTAAATAGCAACATACCTTCCCATAAAAATTGAATCCAATAATTTCAAACCCCATTCTGTCAACTTAACAGTGCCAGAATCGTTAATAGATACTGCGAAGTCCTTCGCCTCCACTCTGAAACGATGATTGAATACCAAACTACGCACATCCGTCAATTTTTTCCCTATGTATTAGGAATTCATCAAATGGAGGAACGGACAAGCCGATTGATCTCGGGGCAGCAAGCTGCCCGGCGGCGGCACGTGGACCACACGCGCCAGCAGACGCGAGGTCGGAGCTGCGCGTGTGGGAGGCAGGAAACCGGCAGGGGTCGCCGGTCCCTGCTGAGGCCGCCGGTGAGGCGCGTCTGCTCGAAATCTGGCCGGATCTGGTGGAAAACGGCTGGGAGGCGCTAGGGTTTCCACAGTAGACTGCGCCTGTGTGTGAATTGGGTGGTTGGAGGGGCTGATTTGTGGCGTGAGGCCGGTTGTGTGGTGCCTACCGGACCGTTGGTCGCCGGCGCCGGTAGTGTGGGGGCGTGGTGGCTGGGTTATTTTGGATTGTGAGGGGAGCTCCATTTCTCAGGTTTCAAACTCGTTCACTTTTTGCACGGATGTGAGTACTGTTATCATATTCACATGAAACACATGACTCGATCAGGTCAGTCAACAATGAATTCTCACACCAGGTTGAGAAGATGTCCTTTAGGCTAGTGAGATTGGCATCTTTTGGAATTTGCGAATTAAGTTTCACTACATTACTAAATTCAATCTTGAATATTATCTTCAGCAATTACAAATGCCTATATTTTATATTACACAAGACTGTTGCGTGCACTCATTCTTAACAATTACTGGGTAGAATAAAGCAAGCAACAGCTGAGTTACACAAGGTTTGAAAGTCTTGAATTGTCCATCGTCAGTTTTAAAAAGAAATGGTGAATAATTGCATCAGTAAATGGAAATTCAAAATTTAACTTCTTATATAGAACTCGATATTTTTGCTCAACTTATAAACAGAACTTAAATACAGCGTAGTTCTATCTACAGGAGGAATAGGAAATATGAACGTGTTGATTGCATGTTTTGCAGAAGTGAGGAAAAAGTATCGAATCCATCTTCGTATTTGAACTTCAAAATCAAGTTAGTTAAAAAAAAAATCCTTCTTCCTTCGGAAATAAATTCTAAACCAACAAAGGATACAGTTGATCTTACATAATCTGCCATGCCTTACGATTAAAATACATGAAAAACTAGCTAAACCAAAGATCTATGGGAGAAACATAACAAACTAAAAAATGAATAAATAAAAGTAGCAGAATTGTGAGTAACGATGACTTACTCTTTGACATGGTACCTATGTTCAAAAAGCAGGCTGAACCATCTTTTAGATAATTTGGAAGTTGACTGAATGGAATACCCCATAAATTTGACACGAATGGTATCAGGAGGCAAATGAAAACTGCCTGTACATATATTAACCGAGTTTTCAGGCTCTCAGTGAAATTTTAATACAGGGTAAAACACAATGTCAAAGAGCTCTAAAAATCTTGGTATGTAACCTGGAAAGCAGATCCATAAGAGTTCACAACAAATAGATCCACTGAACCTCCCTGTCATCATTGCAGTCACAAATAGATCCAAAGTTATTGTTTTATCTTGAAGCCAAATGAATCCAAAACTAAAATTTGTATGACTTCTATGTAAGATCATCATGTATAGACTTGTCCGTATCTATGATACACAATACATATCCAATGATTCGTACAAGTCCCGAGCAAAATGTAATGTAACTATGTTGGGTCCCACGTGTTTATATGATATGGTAGTACTTATACCATTTGATACTAAGGCCCGAGCAAAATGTCATGTAACTATGTTGTGTCCCACGTGTTCATATGATATGGTAATATTTGCTTTGATATATACTAAAATAATGTCTAAACAAAATCAAATGATAAACAACTTGCATTAACTCAATTAATAATTTTCTGAAGACACAAGAGTAGGCTTTGAACATGATGTTAATACATTGGGAAATCGAATAGAATAAATGTGCCTTCAGCTAACAATCACCAACTACTTGTATCACTTCAACTTATAGATTTATTATGCCGAACGCATATATCATAATAGTAGGCTTTGAACATGATAATACAAATATAAAAAGTATGACTTTGATGTAACATACTATTATGTACCATAAAAAAAGGTTCCAGATACTCCATCTGTATCTAAATCCAACAAGTACGCTCCTACACAGCATAAGGCAATAATATATACCCAGCATGGTTCATGAAGTGGTATGGTTGCACAGAAACTGAGCTATTTAATTTTCCCTTGGTGCCAACACATCCAAACGTAAAGACATAACTTTGTTGGATGTACATAAGATAGGAACTGCAACATACCTACCTTTAATCTTTGAGCAGCATCCAAAAATATTATCTCCTACAAACAATAAATCTCATGGTAAGAGAATGAAATGGAGACAAGAAGACCATGCCACAGAGAAAGATACATACCTTCAAGACTGTATCGGCAGCTTGTAACAAGAAAGAAACAATCATCAACACACTCCAAAAGATACCAGATCCCATCAGAGAATCAGCTCCAGATCCACTGAGCACACAAGAAATGAGCAGTATATTTAACAATTTTAAGGGACGCAGAAACAACAAATTGAGCATGTTTGAACTTAAGTACAATTTTGTTTCCAAACTGTAAGTTACTTCTTTCTTATAATTTGAAAACGGTTACTTTGACAGTACAGTAAAAGTTACTTGTGAAATAACTTACTTATTTCCAATTTTGACCAACAAAAAATATTATTTTAAAACTTACTTATTTACTTAAAAGTATATTTTAGGGCTTAGCAAAACATGCACAATGTCATGTATTAGTCTACTTAGATTACTTTTACAGTGCCATTAAAGGACTGTTAAAATGAGATACGTCTTGTTATTCTAGCATCTAAGAGTTGGATATACGATGAAGTTCTTTAATAACGGAAAAACTATGAATCAAAAATTTTTAAACTTATGATGACAAATAGAAGTACAGAATCATTAGAAGTGCTGCATCAACCTTCTTAAAGGTTTATCAAACAGTCGTCAAATTCTTTTCCATAAATATTTCTAATATTTGTTTTGGTTTCCATTCAAGTTAACATTCTTCCCAAAATATTTGTATATCTGAAGTACCAGCATCCACTTGCAAGTTTCATACTTACCAAAACAAAACTTGACAAGAAATAAGCCAGCACCAAAATAAGAGCTGAAAATTTTATAAGATGATCCACACGTTAATTTCAACATACATATGGAAATTTAATTGAGTGAATTTTGGAGTCTCCAAGTTTATCATGCAACTAAGCTTACATGGGCCTTTTTTCCCATCTATAACCTGTATTTTTCAATCTATCAATGTTCTTCAGAGACATAACTTGCTGACTTCTTAAAATTACATATATGTGAGTGGACAAAAAGCAAATTACCTTGCCACGGTTATGATAACACCAACTGCCACAAGACAACATCCCAACAACTGGTTAAAACTATATCTCTTCCCAAGAAAGATAGAAGATAGGATAAGTTGCCAGACAAGAAAGCTCTGCAAAGAGTATCGGATGACCAAATTAGTTAGGAGAAAAGACACTCACTATGAGAAAAACATCAATCAGTGATAATGCAACACCTTTTAGTTCAAGAATTACATCAACTATGACCATAAAAGAAGAAAAAATATATTATAGACTGTAAATACCTGAGATAGAATAGGAATTGCTGCGCCAGAAAGAATAGCTGTTTCAGTATGGAAAAGAAGTATAAGGATTTAAGTCAGAACTGAATCTCTTATTAAATAACTGTAAATGTGATGAAGTGAACCTGTTGAAGAAGTAACAATATCTCAGTCTAAAAATCATCCTAGCACTAAAATGAAGAAATTCAAGTAGTTCTTAACAATGTCACAGCTCAAAACAAAATCTCTTACGTGATTAATGAATATTCGACAAGACAAGAAATTTAAAATATAATGATCAGAATCATGAACTTAACAACAGAATAAACCTGGAGTCAGAACTTCATGCAAACAACATATTTAGACCAAACCAATTTAATGCGTTTCACATGCATGAACCAAATTTCCAAAACAAACAACTATAAAGAGACCTTTTCAAAACTTGACCGGCTTTTGTCATTAATACATACAAAAACCTTTTTCTCATGCAATCATTGACAATGAATGCTTGGTAATCAAAACCCTGTGACAAAATCAGCAAACAAAATTGCCATTCTCTATTAGATTCTGCATTCTTAGATTTGGTATTTACTTCAATCAATTAGGAAAGCCTTCTTTGTTATTTCTTGTTTGCTCTGCTGCATTTGAGTTGTAATCACTCTGAAATGATAAGATTGATGTTGGGTTTGCAAAAACATTCCTTTTTTCTCATCTTATCATTTGTAGGGATATGAGCTAGAACAAGCCAGAAGTCAATAAATAAAATCTAACACTTGTGAAGTTCAACACTCGAAAAACAAAGAACTTACGTGCCTAGTTTAGATAATAAAAATATATATATTAACTTGGGTAAAAAATCCAAAGAAATAAAAAATAACATAACATGATGATTATCTCATCATCCCGTCCAGAAGAAGAAGAAAAGGACAGAAATATGCCACAAAATTTCAAGAATGAATTACCTCCTGCTGCCATTCCAGATGCTGCAGCAAGAGCCTCGAAGAGACCAACGGCAATTAATGGAGACTTCGGCAAAGAGAGCATTTCATCAGTTACTTTACCTGCCTGATAGCGGAGATACAAGATGGAGAAATATACAATTACATACCTGGAAAGAGTGTGAAAGGACAACAGAATCAGTAAAAGTTATGAGGTACAAAGTCATACAGTATCAGTAAAAGTAACTATTGGTAAGAATAGGAAAAAACTAAAACCATGAGTAGACAGAACAGAATATGTTATCTGTCAATTTTGCACTTAAAATCTAAAATAAATCTAAATAAATGCTATAGACTTTATCAAATAAGTATGCTTTTTCATCGCCGAGTCTAGAATTCTGTAAGCTCTAAGCATAAACTTGCCCTTGGATTACACTGTTGTATGTACTTGTTCCAAGAAAGAGCTCCAAGTTCTATAAGCATAGCTATAAAACATTTATATGTGTTATCAGCTTGCAACATTGTGTCCAAGAATAATATAGCCATCACGTCTTCCAATTTATCTGAATTAAGTCAAAACACATTGTAAGAGCTGACGAGCATTACATAATCACATTTCTTGTCAGAAAGGACAATAAGTCATGCCCCAAGTTCTGTTCTTCTTCATGTAATGACTTACTCGAATACTTTGTATTCAACCACTTAATCTAAAAGCTTTAGCTATTAGATAGGGTCAAATGTATATCATTTAAACATTGTCTTCAACATTTTATATAGATCTAAACCTAATTCACACGTTCATACATAACACCAAATTGCAGAGATTGAAATTATATGTGCTTCTTGAAGTCAGGGCTTCAAACAATCTTGAATCAAATCCAATTGGCATGCAAATGCACACAAGCCAAAACTAGATCTTCCTTTTACTTCTTGTTAAATGCGGAAAAAGGCTTTTGATGAGGCAAACCAATTCACTTAAGGATTTTATTGTAGACGAGGGAAACCTGACCTTATAATTGACTTTTATCGCTTCCACAATTTATCGAAGTGTAAACTTCTTCATCACATCAAATGGCCTAAACTGGAACAAGTCCAATCATCCAATGATGATCAAAATAAAACCGAATAGGCTCCAAGCATTGTTAAGTTATAGTCCCACCGAGTTCAATAAACCAAAAGTCCAATCAACGTTGTTACAACTTTTATAGAAATTCCAACATTAGCATCTATTTCGATGGACATGCATTGCCTATTGTCACGGATCGCAAGGTCATAACTTAAGGCTTGGCATGACACGGAAATGTCATGGCATAAGGTGGAAAAATGAGATAGACTTATGGCAAATAAGGTCTAAGCTTCAGCGGTATACGACGATGAGGGCGTCGCCAAATTCAGTGGGGGAGTGACTTACGCCACACGGTCATGACCGATCCGTCCCAGTAGCGATCGCAAGATAGCGTGGGTAACGCGTTTCTGAAGGACGGAACAGCTTGCGATAGAGGACGCAAGCAGATTAGACAAAGGATGCAGGTAGATTCGGGCTGGGGATGCAAGTAGTTTGTTTTGGGGCAGAATGCAAGCTGCCTAGATCGTGCAGTTTTCCAGGGCGTTAATGAGGTTTTTCTAAGTCTCGACCCAACCATTTTGGGAGGAAAAATACATGGACTTGTAGCGGGATATTTTGAGGATGCAAGTGGGCAACTTGCACAACTCGTCCACTTGTGCCACTTGCAAGCTAAGCGCGAGTTGTATGCAAGCTAAGCGCGAGTTGGCAAGGATAAATATCAACGATGTAAGCTAAGCGCGAGTTGTATGCACGCTAAGCACGAGTTGGCGACAACTTGCAAGGCAAGTTGTAAGACCATCCACTTGACGACAACTAAGCATGAGTTGGCGACAACTAAGCACGAGTTGTAAAGTGGAATGTTAAGGAGGTTTAAGTTTTCCTATAAATAGAGATGTAGTCTCATTTGTAAATGGTATGTAGTAGAGGTTAGAAAGTGCAGAGAATGTAGAGTGAAGAGAGTTTATTCATTAGAGAGATTGTAAAGTTTTACCTTTCATTTATACAAAGAAAGTTTCCCCATCCTTACTTGTTTTCCATATATTACTTACTTTAAAATTCTGTTCTCAACGTGGACATAATTTAACCTCCTTGGTTAAATTATTTGTGAGCATGGAAAGGCTAACTTAACGTTTTCTCGTGAGGTGAGGGAATTGTCAAGCGTTAAGGCCGCACGGTTCTAGTTTTTCGGGTGTAACGAAACTAGGTCCGTGACAAGTGGTATCAGAGCCAGGTTCACATGGGGTTGAACCAATTTTTCATCTCAAAGGTGAGGTGATATCCATGTAAGGTTCACGTGGTATGGACTACGGAGGCAGTATCAAGGTGAAGGTTTGGTTGTGGTAACCAAGTGCGACTGTGGTAGCCAGATTCGTCGGAGATTCTTGGAAGCTAGATTTGGGTGAGGTGCTCAAATGGCGGAATCTCAAGAAACTGTTGATATTGAGATTGAGGAGAGGGGTAGAGGTGCTGCCCAAACTGAAGTAAGGAAAACTAGAGGCAAAAGTAAGGTGAGGGAAGCTACCAACATGGAAGGTAAACTTGACCAAATCATCTCAAATATGGGTGATCGGGTCGAATCTCTTGAAAGCACCTTTAAGGCGTTGGAGGGACACACCATTGGAAAGCTAGAAACTCTACAAATCAATGTCCAAGAGGTGATGGACACACAAGCATCGTTGGAAAATGATGTCCAAACGATGAACGATGATGTTCGAACTGTGGTAGCCGGACAAGCCGCGGTTATTGATGATTTTGGTCGTCTTCAAACCAAAGTCTTGGATGTCGTTACCGCTATGCATGGCCAAGTTAACCAGTTGGCCGTGATGATGGAGAGAATGAGTAAAGAGCTTGATCAATACAAGCACTCGACTGCCGGTACAAGCGGAGGTGCCGCTTCAACTATTGTTGCCCCGAGGATTGAATACCCGAAGCCTAAACATTATGATGGGCGACGGGATGCAAAAGATGTTGAAAACTTCCTATGGCAAATGGAAGTCTATTTTGAAGGGGTAAATCTTGTTGATGAAGTCATGAAAGTCCGGACCGCTTCTATGTATCTCTCGGATATTGCGGCGTTGTGGTGGCGTCGTAAGCATGGCGAAATTGCAAGGGAGGCTTGTACGGTTGATACTTGGGATGAGTTCAAAAGGGAAATAAAGAGGCAATTCTACCCGGAGAATGTCTTCTATGAGGCACGCAAGAAATTGAGGGAATTGAAACATACGGGAACAATTCGTGACTATGTCAAAGAGTTCACGACTCTTATGCTTCAAATCCCAAGCATGCCGAAGGATGATTTGCTATTCTATTTTCTAGACGGTTGTGCAACATGGATACGACAAGAGTTGCAACGTCGTAATGTCAAAACCGTAGACGAGGCCATTGCAGTAGTCGAATCCTTGATGGAGTTTGAAGAAAGTTTTGAGACCGAAGCTCAAACAATCAAACCCGCCAAAGGAACTTTTGGGGATAACAAGGAAGATATAGGGAGGGCTATGCAATGGAGTAAGCCGGATTGGAGGCCAAATCCCAAAGTTGATTACAAATCCGGTGGCAACAAACCAACTACTTGGTGTAAGTAGTATGATGAGAAGAAGAGGAGTAATTTTACACCTCGAGGTTGCTTTATTTGCAAAGGATCACATCTCATAAGGGACTGTCCTGAGTTGGGATCATTGGCATCTATTTCCATTTCGGAGAGCAAACCGGAGACTATGGATAGCCAAGATGAGGATGAAGGATGAAGTTCGAATGAATTCATTCCAGTTGTTTAATGCTATGAGTGCCGAAACAGTTTCTGTGGGGATGGAAACACAACAACTGTCACGGATGTAGTTAGCGAAAGTCCTTGAAGATGATAAGGACATGCCCGCGGAGTTGCCGAGTGAACTATCAAGAAAGAACAAAATTGAGGAAGCATTGTCAAAGAAGTCCGAAATTGGGTGCACGAAGGTTCAAAGCTTCGACAAGTGTGGGGACACTACAACCGGAGGAGTTGTCCATCCGAAGAACCAAGGCAGAGGTGCTGAGGGTGAAGGTTGGTGTCAAAGGTGGCATGCAAGAGGTTGCAACGGGAAGAGGTGCAAGGAGCACTGTGGAAACCCGGTCATCGAGGAGATGGTGCCGCAAGTTGGGATAACTTTGATGCCCATTGACGTGAAAAACAATGCAAGGTTGCATGAGGATGCACCAAACACGTTTCGCTACGAGGACGTTAGTGGATTGAGTGGGGGAGAATGTCACGGATCGCAAGGTCATGACTTAAAGCTTGGCATGACACGGGAATGTCATGGCACAATGTGGGAAAATGAGATAGACTTATGGCAAATAAGGTCTAAACTTCAGCGGTATACGGCGATGAGGGCGTCGCCAAATTCAGTGGGGGAGTGACTTACGCCACACGGTCGTGACCGATCCGTCCCAGTAGCGATTGCAAGATAGCGCGGGTAACGCGTTTCTGACGGACGGAACAGCTTGCGATAGGGGACGCAAGCAGATTAGACAAAGGATGCAGGCAGATTCGGGCTGGGGATGCAAGTAGTTTGTTTTGGGGCAGAATGCAGGCTGCCTAGATCGTGCAGTTTTCCAGGGCGTTAATGAGGTTTTTCTAAGTTCTGACCCAACCATTTTGGGAGGAAAAATTCATGGACCTGTAGCGGGATATTTTGAGGATGCAAGTGGGCAACTTGCATAACTTGTCCACTTGCGCCACTTGCAAGCTAAGCGCGAGTTGGCAAGGATAAATATCAACGATGTAAGCTAAGCGCGAGTTGTATGCACGCTAAGCACGAGTTGGCGACAACTTGCAAGGCAAGTTGTAAGACCATCCACTTGACGACAACTAAGCATGAGTTGGCGACAATTAAGCACGAGTTGTAAAGTGGAATGTTAAGGAAGTTTAAGTTTTCCTATAAATAGAGATGTAGTCTCATTTGTAAATGGTATGTAGTAGAGGCTAGAAAGTGCAGAGAATGTAGAGTGAAGAGAGTTTATTCATTAGAGAGTTTGTAAAGTTTTTCCACCTTACTTGTTTTCTATATATTACTTATTTCAAAATTTTCTTCTCAACGTAGGCATAATTTAGCCTCCTTGGTTAAATTATTTGTGAGCGTGGAAATGCTGACTTAACGTTTTCTCGTGAGGTGAGGGAATTGTCAAGCGTTAAGGCCGCACGGTTCTATTTTTTCAGGTGTAACGAAACTAGGTCCGTGACACTATGCTATAATCATTTGAATTAATCTCACAGTGACAGACACCATGAGTGAAAGTCGAAAATCAAGGACTATGACTTACACCACACGCAAGACAGAGATCCATCTCTTCTCTAAAGGCCAAAGAAAAAAGACAAATGCATCAATATATATTATCTTTTTGAAAAATGCTGTTTGTACAGCATGTTTTTTGACAGCATTTTTCACACCCACTCACAAAGGTGGGGTCCACGATTATTTTAATCGTGGACCCCACCCACTTGCATGTGTGTGTGCTGTGAAAAAATATGTAAAAATTGATGTACGTGTAGAATGGTTGTAACTTTTTATCTGTCTGGGCACAAGAATTCCTAGTCAAATAGGAAGATCCAATTTTATTTCTTGGACCACGTGAAAAGAGGATGCCCTTGTTATGGTTACTGCCTCTCTCTGATACACATGAAGGAAAATCTGACTCTATGAGTCTCTGTGTGGCTGTTGGTTGGTGGGATCCACCACTTGAGATCCAACTCACAACCATCGGTCCTCATTTAAATGATAACCACCGTGGAGCATCTTTTTCCTTGAAAAACACAAAAACAATCCATATGGAAAGAGAATAATGTCAATAGAAAACAACCTTTATAGCTTTGTCATTAACGTATTCAGTCGAACATACTAAACATATATTATACATAAAAGAACGGATAAAAGGAAATTAAGGAAAATGTGTTTTTTCCAATCAAATTCCTAATTTTGTGCTGTTTGATTGTCATTTTTTTCCTTTGAAAACATTTTCCTACTTTTGGCCACGTGATCATATTTTCTCAAAATCAAGAAAAATATTTTCTTTAGGTGAAGTAGATTTTTATTTTCCGGGGAATTCACCCCCTCTTTCTCTTTCATCTATCCTCTCTCTCATCTACCTATCAATAAAAAACAAACAAGTATAATATTTTCTAAGTTGAAAATTAAATCCATCAAATATATTCAATTAATAATTTACATGCAAATAAGTTCTAGGCAATTGAATTATCTAGAATTTTTTTTCTTTTCATTCAAATTTCATACTTGCAATCAAACGCATCCTAAGCAAAATAGAAGATCACGTGCGATTATAATGGTTCAAAACAAGTCAATGTCATTTAAACGCCCCTATCGACGACACATAAAAACATGGCACTCGATATCGTCGCCTTCCATTTAATATCGTTCTCAACTGAAAAGAAGACAATTGTGCCAGCTACCGGTTCTGAACTACCCATTTGCAGAATTATTTATATTATATATTATATAAAAATTACAGGAATAATATGAAATATTGAAATAATTATATAAACAATATTTTAAGATTTTAAATTAAAAAGAAAAAGAAAAAGAAAAAAGAAACGTGATTATTTCAAACTACTCTTCTTTTATTTTAGTATATTCTGTCCCCATCTATCCTCCCAAAGTTGAACATTTCTATTTTCGATGTCAAACAAAATTTCCTGTCACCTTTATGTGAAAAGACCATTATGTCCGTGCACGTGGTCGAATTTTCGGCCTTCAAGTTGTCACACATTGTTTACTCGACAAAATCAATCCTATCTTTTATCTATCACAACTGAAAAAAATAAAAATAAAAATAATAATAATAATAATAAAAATCAGCCAAATCTTAAAAATTTATTAAGATAAATGTTCTAAAAAAAACTCGCATAAATTATTAAAGCACCGACGGTAATCATGAGTGTCGAAATAGACAAAAATTTTCAAGTCAAAAATTTTCCGCCATCAAGTATTATATGACTACTAATGTGGTTCCGCATATCGAAATAATTTTTATTTTTATTTTTACAATTTCTTCAATTTGTACGTGTGTGAACTGGGAACCAGATGAGACATGGAAGTGCGTGGGAGTGAATTGAGAATGAGTACCCGAAAGTGGCGAATTGAGCGAGAAAGAATGGATAATGCTTGAGTGGGACTAATGCAAGCTTGTAAAGCACCCGATTTCCTACTCCCAGCACCACCGTCGCTGTCGCCGCAATCATCACCTCCACCCTCCGATCACGGCCTTTACTCTTCTCCTCCACCATAACCTCCTGATGTTGATGGTTGCACGCGCAACACTTTGGCGGCTGGACTTTCCTCTTCACCTCCTCCTCGCCTGTCGATCTTATTCCTCTTCCTCCGATGGACTCCACCGCCTCAATCACACATCGCCTTGACCGTAAAACGCCTAGCCTTCCTACTCCGCCGCTTCGCGATCGGTTGTCCATTTGCAGAATTACTGAGAGCCGAGGCGGAATGTGATGACTCGCCACCGTCGTCGCGGCGGCTGTCACCCGGCGATAACACGTGGACATATTGTATATGTACTATATGTGTATAAAATCAAAATTGGAAGCAAAATTTCTCTGATTAAACACACAACTAATGCGTGTAAATTTTTTGAAGACAGGAAGAGAACGGAGAAATGAACCGATTTATGTGTATGTCCAAGAGAAAAAAGCCAAATTTGATTGGAGTTAATTTGTTAATGTCAACGTCGTAAGTAACAAATTGGATTTTTCTCTCTTTTTGGCACATTGATTTTTCGCACATTGATTTTTCTCTGTAATCATCAACTAATGTGAATCTTTTATTGATGAATATAGCCACTGGTTTTTATAACGAAGATTGAGCCCATGTTTAATATTCATTTTCCAAAAAATTATTTTTTCCTAAATTCAATTTCAACAACATATTTTTTGAATAAAATAATTTTACACTTTTCAAAGTTTTTAACAGATCATCCTCCAAAAAATCATTATTACAAAACTTATTTTTCAACAAAAATAGAATGGAACATGGGCTGAATCATAATTGAATTGGAGGGCCCACCTTCCATTTTACAACTTTAATTACATGTTTAATGCCCATTTGTAATTATGATGATGAAAACAAAATAGTTAAAAATTGGTCCATAATTATGCTTGATAAGCATGTTATTACGAGTCTATTTGGGGTGATTTTGAGAATTGATTTTTTGATCGTTAGAAGAAAAGTGGGATCCACATGTGAGAGAAGCAGTCAAATATGACGGTTGGAATAATAAAATAACGGTCAAAAAATCAATTTTTTGGACCAAAAAATCACTCCCAAACAAGCTGTTTGTTTTCTTTAATGAAATTAAAATTAGACTTTTTGTAAATTTTGATAAAAGTGAATGAAATGTGTAATTGAAAAATTGTGAATATAAAGTATATGGTTAAACTTAATTGTTAACTTTGACTTAAATTAAAATCTAAATTTTAATTCTTACCAAATGAGAACTATATATAAGAGCGATGTTGAACAATCGTTTAGATGTCAACATATCATAAATTCTATTAAATGGATCATAATTTCTTATATTTAACTAAATATGTAATTAAACGACATTAGTGTTGCTATTTAAACTGATGTTAAACACTAATGATATAAAGCATTAATTTATATATAAATTGAGAAAATATTTAAAATAAAACAATGCTATGATGATCGAATTTTTTTGACATAATGGTTGACCCACACTCACAATAAGAGGGGGTCCACTTCTTTTTTGGACATTTTTATTCACACGAGACTCATCTGCATATGAGGGGATATCAACTATTATGTTAAAAAAATTCAGACAAAGTAGTTTAATTCTTTAAAATATTACAAGGGCGCCAATCCCAACCTTGTGTGGTTCCACCATTACATACTGGCTACGGTGGTTAGTAGAACTTTTTAGCATATTTGCTCAACTATTGTTACTATTAATTTGGTATGGAAGGTTTTTGTAGTTTGAAACACGCTTTGGAACGACTCTATTCGTCTCCATCTTGCCGGAGATTTTTGAAAGGTAGAAGCAGGGGCAACAATTAAAAGAGTTAATTAATTAATTCTCATCGAATTTTATCTTAAATTATCTGTTCATTCAAATTTAAAAAGTTACTCACTGCTCACCAATATTTATAAAATGTTACGCACCCACTCATATCAATTTCATTCATCCACATGGACAAAAAAAGAAATCCACCTGGACGAATGAAATTGGTACGAGTCATGGAAGGATAACTTTTTTTAAATATGGGTAAGCAAGTGGCACATTAGGATAAAATTAAATGAGTATTGATTTAATTAATTTGATCTTAGAAGAATTTAAAATCGGCATTGAAAACATTTTATTTTGGTTCCAAATCTAATAAGAATGATTAGTTTCATGAATTATTGCAACTCTACGAAATTAGTCATTTGCTCACCTATTCCAAGATTTTCTCGAAAATAGCCAAAATACTTTTCTCCCTTTCCCTTATTGCTTACGAGACTCCTACCAAAGATACTATTCTCTCCGCGGCTTTCTTGCCTCCTCTACTTGTGGAAGCTCTGCCACTCTCTCGTCCCTTCCCTCGGATCAATCTTGATATGCATAAAGTACAATGGTCTCGTATATAAAGAAATAGATTGCTTTCAATTTGGTTTAGGAGCAATCTTTCCTATCCGCTCTTTGCAAGTGCAAATAGTTTCGTATATATAGAAATCTACAGAAAACCGTTGATTTAGATCAAGGGTCTGATTGACGAGGTAGAGACTTTTATCGTTCAGAATAATTTTCTACCTCCAATCCTTAACTTCTCGTGTGTTTGCCTCTTTTTTGCTAACCCTTTGAAGAAGTAGCCAACTTTTGAATAAGTACTTCTTCTTTTTATTTCATTTGTATTTTTCTCATGTACTTTACTTAAATCTTTATATTCAAGTATACTTGATTTGTTAGGTTCTCAAGCCTGCATTATATTTAAGTGTGATGAAGAAAATTAAGAATAACCAACTTCAATTTGTTTTTTTCTTGGGCATTTGTACAGAAAAGCAAGTTTAATAATTGGTTCACATAGAATTCATCCATAAATTCACATAATTGCAATCATACTTTACAAATTTCCTTCGACGAATAGCATCCAGAAAGGAATTTGGTGCAACTTGTCCCAAACCTTCGCTCAATTGGCATTGTCATGCAAATCTTCCAAATATGGTGCAAATGATCCTTTTAGACATAATCCATCCAAAATGCCATGAATTTTGGGCACGCAATGCAATTTCCCTTCTTTTGTTTTTATTTTTCAAGGTATAATTTTGTCATTGCCACTAAAAAAGTTTTTTTTTTTTTTTTAAAGATAAAAAAATTAGGTTGACGGCCGATATGGTGCTTGCAATTATTATAGTTTCGGGATTTAAGTTTCTCATAGACCCCTTCAGATTTTCATTGAGGGTGTGGAGGAAGTCGAAGGCTCACTTCTCCTTCTTGCTCCCAAGACTCTTACTGAAGACACTATCCTCCCTAGTATTTGCAAATGTTAAGGCTTCCTAACATTCTCTACGAGTGGAAACTCTACCACGCTCCAGTCCTTTTTTCTCATATAAATCTTGATGCACAAATAATGTACAACAATCTCGTGTATAAAGAAATAAATTGCTTTTCAATTTGGTTTAAGAGCGATCCTTCCTATCCGTTCTTTGCAAGTGCAAAATATTATTGTATATATAGAAACCGATAGCAAATTGTTGATTTGGACCAAGGCGGTATGAGTGACTTTTGTTTAGAATGATTTTCCACCATCCAAATCTTATTTTTTTTATGTGTTTGCCTCTTTTTTGCTAACCATTTGAAGCGAAGCTTCATCACTAGGTAGAATCGATGAGACATGTATTGCACCTAGTGTAGATAGTTCACATAGATAATGCTAAGAGCAAACTTATCAATTTCAATTAAGCTTGTATTTTGTGTAACTTAAATAATTGAATAGAATAAATCAAAATCAACAATTAATTTACATAACATATTTCATGGAATCGACAACTCTTATAAAAAATTTAACCACGCATTTTATCAACTTTTATTAAAATCTATTAAGAATCTAATACTTAACCATAACAAGTCGGGCTAAAATCTTCAGCATTATGCAAGCTGGAACTTCTTCCTTTCTAGTTATATACATCCTGACTTTTTTCTTTCAAGTTCAATAAATCCCAATAAAATTCATTACTTTCTAATTTTATTCAATTTAGTCCTCAAATATTTATATCAATCCGATTTCCCCTCGTTTCCAATATAAAATAAAAATCATAAATCCCTCAACATTTGGGTTGTAAAGGGGACCAACTCCTAAACACAGACCCGGTCTTGGCCCAAGGTACCTTGGGCCTCAAAATAGGAAGGGCCCACAAAAAAGCAAAAGCCCAAAAATAGTAATTATATTTTTGGAATTTTCTTAAATTAGATAATTTCTTGAAAATGTATTAGTGCAAATGAACCAGAAGGTTGTCCCCCTAACCAATAATGTATCTTCATTTTTGTTCTTATTGCTGTTTTTTACTATTTTTATTTTTAAATATAAAATATTTTAAGCAATATATGGTAGTCAACACCGTATATCATTGATTTTCAGAAACCCTTTATAGTCTATTTCTTGAACACGAAAATTGATTTTTGGACGAATCAACTGGTGAGTTGAACTAGGGGAACGGTCTTGCATACTTACTCACATATCAAAATAAGGCCCTTTTTCGATAGTTTATCATCGACATAATATTCCTCATCACTAGAAACAATTTGATTCCACCATGCTTGATGCTTGTACGCTTTTAGAAAAATATATTTAAGGGTCTCATAATAATTATCATCTAGGACCTTAAATTTTTTAGGACTGACCCTGATTAAACACTCTTTTAAATTAATTATCTGACTTTAAAATTTGAAAAATAGAGTAACAAATTTTTTGAATGTTTTTTTCAAGACAGATTAGTTAAAACTCGAAATCAAAATTAGTCAAGTAATTTGGGCAGATTGAAGCTTGTAATCCAATTTTATAACGGTTAACAAGAATCGTTTAAAAAAGTCTGGCTATATTTATTTTAAAAAAAAAAAAAAAAGGTATCCTAGATCCGCCCCTACTTTCTTCCGATTGACAGACGAGAAGTGGTATAAAAAGAACTCTGATCGATTTTTGAGTCTATCTATAAGAGAAGATCCTATGAAAAATGTTACCGATTCTTTCATTTCTTTTGGCCACTGGCCATCTGTTGGGAGCTTCAGAAGTAATTCGCGAAATCATGCACTTATCTTTCCTAGTTATAAAGGAAAAAGGTCCAACTGGTTTTGTAAGTATATTATTCACCTAATAGTTTGGTTTTAATTTTATATATTGAGAATTTTAATTCGAGTTATACAATAATAACTCTAGTCAATCCAATAATTTAGTGTTAGCCCCCGTTTGGCCGCCAATAAATTTCATTACATTACATTCTATTTTTTTCTCTTCTATATTTAATCACATAATTTTTCATAAAATAATATTACAAGTAAAACGAAAACTTTTTTTCCTTTTTCAACCACTCATTTTTAAAAAAAAAATATTATTCCACCAATTTTCATTTCTAGAAAATGAGGGCCAAATGAAGGTTAAATTTTGGTTGTGTCAATAATTGAATCAATCTTGACAACTATGCTAGAGAGAGTTGTATAGTTTTTGGTGTTAAATTTTGAATAGATTTTGATAAAAGTTGTAAATTTGATGAAAATGTGTGTTTAAAATTAATCGTT